TTCCCTCAGTTCTGTCAGTTTTTCCTCACATAGTTGATACTCTTGTTAGGCTTATACACATGAAGGATTGTTATGTCTCCTGGGAGAATTGACCCTCTGTCAGTATGTAATACCCTTCTTTATTCATGATATTTTCCCCTGTTTTGAAGACTGTGTGTCTAAAATTAATATAGGTTATCAGCTTTCTTTTTTTTTTATTGAGTTAGCATGATTTATATTTCTTCATCTCTTTTACTTTTAGTCTATCTTATTACTTATATTTTTTATTCAAGATTATTACTAGTAGTCCGATGCATGAAATTCGTGCACATTAAAAGGGAATTAATTAGAGGAAATATTGTAATATTACTATTTGCCCTTTATAATAGAAGTGTCAGAGATGAAAGGAAATTAGTAGAATGTATGTGAAAATCTTCCTCCTGTAAGAGTCTGGGGCACGCTGTGGGCCCCAGAATCAAGTCCCCGCCCAACCGCACGTGCCTCGAAATCGCAGGAGATCCAGACCTAGCTGGCCCCACCCCATTGGGCAAGATCCAGACCCATCAAACCCCGCTGAGTGGGGGGTGCAGCCTCAGAGCCCCTGTCAAGCCCTGCCCGGTTGGGGGCACAGCCTCAGGTCCTGGGAGGATCCTCAGGTCCCCCCGCCTGGCACCGGGGCAAGGGGCGTGGCCTGAGCAGGATATGCACCTTGAGGTCTCCCGTCAAACCCCACCGGGTGGGGGGTGCCTCCTCAGTTCCCCCGTCCCAGCTCAGTGCCATGCAGCCTCAGGTCCCGGCTGATGGCTCATTAAGGCTCATTAGGGGAACTTGGCTTCTTGTGTTATGGAAACCCTGCCTTCGTGTGTGATGCAGTCATTTGTTATGGTGTGATGGTCAATTTGCATATTCTGTCTTTATTAGATAGGATATTTAAAGTAGCTTTCTTATAGACATAATGTATAGTTGGGACATATTTTTTAATCCACTCTGACATTCTCTGTCTTTTAATTGGTACATTTAGACCATTTACATTTAAAGTGATTGTTGATATAGTTGATTAATATCTGTCACTTTTGTAACTTTGCTCATCTGCCTTCTGTGTTGTTGGTTTTTTAAATATGTTTTTATTGATTTTAGAAAGGCAGGGAGAGGGAGAGGAAAACATCGATTGGCTGCCTTCTGTACAAACCACTGGGGTTGGGTTCCAGCAACCTGGACATGTCCCTCACAGGGAATCAAACCCTGAAACCCTCCGATGTATGGATAGACACTTGATCAACTGAGCCACACTGGCCAAGGCTTGTGCCTTCTCTGGTTTTAACAGAGCATCCTAAATAATAAAAGTGTAATATGCAAATGGACCAAACATCAGAACGACCAATCGGTGGGGGGCGGGGCCAGCAAGCTGGCAGTGCCAGGCCAGCCAAGGCATGTGCCAGCGGGCAGAAGGAAGGAATGGCGATGGGGGGGGCGATAATCAACCAGTGGTGGCAGAGGGGCGATGGGGGGCGGGGGGAATAGCACCATCCCCTTATCTGCCCATCCTTTTCCTCCCGCAGAAGGAGGCCGGGTGGCAACAGCGGGGTGATGGGGCAGCGCTGTCCCCTGACTCCCTGTCCTCGCCTTCCGCAGATGGAGGCCAGACTGCTGTCAGTAGGACATCCCCTGAGGACTCCCAGACTGAGAAGGTGCAGGCCAGGCTGAGAAATTGGAAATCATAGCTAAGGGAAGTGTTCTTTAAGGGAGGCACTTAAAGAACATTGCTTTTGATTCCGGAATATGCTTTTGTCTGTGAAGAGAGAGGATAAAGCACACTGAAAAGATACTTTAAGAGACTGTTCAATTCAGGGCCAGTGTAGGTATTGGATGAGTTCACACATGCGGTAAGAAGGGTGAGGGGATGTTGGGGATATGAGATGGCTAATCTTATAATATCTCAAAGATGAGGCTAAAATTGGATAATGACTTCTTGAAAGGCAAAAAAATAATGCTTTAGCAGGTAGAAATTTTAAATTCTAATTCAGGGCTGTACCTGTAGTTCTTTTCCAGTGTATATGTTAGATTTCTGGGTTATATGTCCAGATCATTGGGAGCCTCTCTAAATGTTAGCCTTTATTCTTAAAAAGTTCAAGAAATTTTGCCTTTACTCTTCATAGTATAAGAAAAATATAGAATTTTCCCTCAGAAAGTTTAAGGAAAATTTAAAAAACCTGAGCAATTACTTAGTTTTTTGATGAAAGTATAAGATTTCCCTTAACCTTTTTTTTTTTCTTGTGAAATTAAGGAGTTGCTTAGAAAATTTTTTACCTATGCTACTCAAAGACTGCTAGTTAATTGACAAATACGTTTTAAAAATTTAATCTATTTACTTGTTTTATACCTTTCTATAATTGAAGTAGTGGTAAACTGTTTAAAGGGTTTTGGGTGGGGATAGTTAGTGTCTGAGATTTTCAAGCTTTAACACTAGAGATTAGAAAAGAAATACTGCCTACCTCATTGCTGTTTAAATAACCCCCTGTTGGCAGTGCAAATATTTTCTCCTGTGAAGCAAAACAGAGTTCTTACACACAATAATCTTTATAAATATTTTGAAAACCCCCAAAACATTATCCCCAAATAATCATTCTACTTGTCCTTATTATTATATTTTGCATATCTCTTCTATATTCCTTTAGAAACCTCTTACTGGGCATTCAACTAAGAAATAAACTTTCCCTTAATTTTTTTTAAAATCATTTTGTAAGTCTCTAAAACATAGTACTACCATAAGAATCTATGCCGTTTCCTTTCTTACTTGCTTAAATACTTAATAAAAATATAAATGAAAAGAATTGTTTCATGATCAAACTGAAGGAAGAAAAGAAATTTAAAAATTATTAAACGCAACTAATGTGCTTGACACTTTATAGAAATGATGTTATTTTATGTATGCATTACACAAAGGTGAAAAAAGATTTTACAGATGAGAAAAATCTAAGATTCAAGGGTTGAGAGAGAGCCTTTCCCCTGAATTTACTGATCTTATATGGGCATGTTTCTGCTGCTTTGACTGAGAAGTCTTTCACTCCTGAAGAGTATTTCAAACATGGTAGTTCTTGGTCTGAATATTCTATATAATATATAATAAAAGTGTAATATGCAAACTGACCAAACGGCAGTATGACCCGCTGGCAGGGAACGAAGCCTGCGAGCATGCAGCACCAGGCCATCCAAGGCATGTGCCAGCAGGCAGAGGGAGGGGACAGCGATGTGGGAGTTGGTAGTACCCAGCAGCAGCAGTAACAGCAGCAGCAGGGCAATGGTGGGCGGGGCCGGCAGCTTGCCAGTTGGTGCCATCCCCTGATGGGCCTGCCCTGTTGCCTCCTGCATAGGGAAGTCAGAGTGTGAGAGGGCACAGGCCGGGACCCCCTTCCTTCCCTGGAGTGCATGAATTTTCATGCACTGAGCCTCTAGTACTTTAAAATATAAACATTGAAGTGCAGACAAAGCAATGATTCAGCAAGCTGGTGTGCTTAAATGTTTCTTGGTAAATTAGGAGAAAAGGAGGAATCTTTTTTCTGTCACTGAGATTAACTGAGTAATTGAGAAATACCTGTAAACCCTTTTAACTAATTGATACCTATCCTTTTATACCTGATAAATATTAAATAATGATGGAGCAATAGCTCAATTACATTTAGTCAATGTTTGTCAATATGTGATCATGCGTTTTTTTTTTAATGGGATGAAAGCTGATTATTTTAGTGCATATTCTGAAAAAGCAAAAAGATTTCTTTCACATTCTAATTGCTACTTGGTACTAAATAATAAATATACTCGGGTCACAGTTCCTAAGAGTTCCTAAGTGTAATTTACACAGTTCCTACGTGTAACTTAAAGTTAGCACATAAACATGAGTAGACTGTTAAGGGCACTTGACCAGAAGGTAAAGGTGTGGATTCTCATACAATTCCTTTTCATTGTAAAATTTTGAGCAAGTTGTTCTTGTCTTTGGCCTCCCTTAAAGGTAGAATAATCCTATCTTCTGTACACTTGCTTAAGTTGGAATGAAGAACAAAGGAGATGGTGTGAAAGTACTATGAAACTCTCTACGTATAGAGTGATTCTTGATTTCCCCCCCCCCTTTTTTAAATGATACAGACTCCTTTGGAAGCTGTGGATCTCTTAGAAAACATTTTTAAAGAAAAGGAGATTATGAATTCCCTAATCCCTAACCACAGACTCTATATTATGAACTGTGGCTATAGGCTAAGGAAAAAGAGCAGAGCTATGCATAATGTAAAATGTTAGCTAATTTACAAACGTGTAATTCACTTCAAATTATGTTTTTGTTTTGGGGATTTTTAGGACTGCACTCACCAGCACATAGTAGGCTATTTGAATATATTTTGAAATCTTTTTATTTATATTTGGAGGACTTGTTTATTTTCCAAGAACAGCTTTGAACTGGACTAACTTGTTTGTCATTTTGTAATTCAGAGCTGTCCCCTGGTGTTTGCCTTTATGTCTAAGCATTCTCCCCTGAGATTGGACCTCTTAGAAAGTGTATTAACTGCTCTTTGCACAGTGGTGGCTCAGCACAGACAAGCCATTGCATTGGCAGAACTCTAAGCAGAGTGTGTCTTTTTGCTCCTCACCTGTGATGAGTCACATCTTGGCCTCCTGTTGCAGTCAGCTATAGTGCATAAGCCTATGCTTGTAGCCCAATACCGAGTCACTCAAAATTCTCAAGGACACATGTTTAAGATACTAGTTCTTCTTATAGTTTAAAAAATCAGTAGTCAGATGTTTAGTAAAAAAAGTTCTAGCCTTGTAGCAGTCTTTCATTTTTCTAAAGAAATGACATACTGGCTTATGTGGTTATGTAGCAAGATTTAAAATGAATCTTCAGATTATTCCCGCTTTTCCACAGATGAAAAAGCAAATTGCTTTTCTTCCAGATTCTGTGTATCCAGAATATCCTCCCAGCTTTCCTGAATCCTTTTGAGAGATATCCTGTTTTTGTGTCTGAAATAAGCTAAATGCTGGCACAGTGAGTGGTGGTTGAAAAGGGCTGATGGTGCTTTCTGAAAACTTAGTGTTATTGATTCTAGTATATATTCTACCCGAGTGGTCAGTTTATTTCTTAACTGCAGCTCTAGCCAGGGATACATTTTATACTATGATGCAGTACACACAAAAACCCTCTTACCTAAAAAATAGTTAATTATTATTTCATGAAATAATAATTACCCTTACTATATGTGCTCAAATATCTTTTATATAATTTCATAAATACTCATTATGACCTACTAAATGAATAAACATGTCCTACCAAAGGGTTTCAAGCCACAGTTTGAAAAAGTGGTCTTCAGTTACATAATTTTCAGTCATGTGATTTGTAGACTATATTGGGATATCATTTTAGTTAAGTTTTATATATTTTCAAACTATAACATAAAGTAATCTCTTTAGCAGGTACCTAAGTATAATCCTTTATTTAGAAAAAATATATATAAATTAAAACTAGAAAAACTATGTTTTGGTTTTTTGTGTGGATGGAGTTCTTTGTTTGGATGCTTTGAGATAAGGGTGAACTTTCTGTTCTTTCATTTTTTTCACATGTATTTAGCTATTCAGCAACATATTAATAGTAAGATTTGTGATCCCGTTTTTTGTTGAACTTGATATGATTTACTGGAAACATTCGCCCAGTTAATGTTTTACATTTAATGGTTTACATTTTATACAAATTGGGTCAAAGCTAGTAAGATAGTTGAATGCCATAATTGTAATTTGTCATTTAGACAAATGTATCAGAATTATCTTTGCCTTTCTACTTTTTCTTTTTAAAGAAGTAGAAAAAGTATCTTCGTCAGAATTTTCTACTTTTCAGACTTGTTAGGAGCTCTGTAGGAATGCTTGACCTATCAGACAGTGGCATTTTGACTGTTTCTGGTGAACATCTTTCTGCAGGATTACAAGTGTTGATCACCAGCCCGCCAAGATGAACATGGTGAAGAGGATCATGGGGCGCCCCCGGCAGGAGGAGTGCAGCCCGCAGGACAACGCCTTGGGGCTGATGCACCTCCGCCGGCTCTTCACTGAGCTGTGCCATCCTCCTCGGCACATGACTCAGAAGGAACAAGAGGAGAAGCTGTACATGATGCTGCCAGTGTTTAACAGGGTGAGTCCAGGCTGCCAAGCACATGCCTTCCAGGACTGGGTGGCACCACCAGAATCTTAAGGTCATAACAAGTCACAGGTAGGAAAAGCGATAGAATGAGTTAAGTCGTTAAGATGCTTTCATTTCTTCCTATTAGTTTGCTATAAAGTAGTATGACTTGATGCGAGACCCGGTCAAAAGTGAACTTTACTTAGTTCTTACAGATAAAAGGAAAACTGAGCATTTTGTAAAAGGTTCCTCTAATGGTTGAGTTTGGGAGGAGGGGTAGATTGTAAATTATCATTTCTATTTCCATTATTTTTGAAGTGACGGTTTTATTGCACCAAGTGGTGCAATTGCCCTAATGCTCTGTATACTCTTAAGGAATCATCTCAGTTTTCTTTCTTGTTTGGCAGGTTTTCTATCAGAGATTAAAGGAAAATAGTTACAGGCCCTAGAGAGTCTAAATAGAGTTAGTGTTTTATTGTATTTTATCAAGTTGATACATGTAGCAATCTTAGTGGGGATTTTTAAAATAATTTTTAAGTTTTTATCGAAGGTGTACAAGTACATAGATTAAAAAGCCAACTAGTTCACAGGCTAATAGGCGCCCCAATGCTCTCCATTGCTGATTGCTGCTGCCACTTTTAGCTCTCTCAGCCTTTAAATAACATACTTTTACTGCTGGTTTCTTGATTATGCAGTCTTAATTGACTTCCTACTGAGGATTATGAAAAATTACCTTTTTAAATTCCCCATTCTCCAACTATAACAAGCATACCTTTACTCACTAGTACATGCTGCCCTCATCCTTGTCCTTTTCATGAAGTATACATTTGTTTAAGCAGTATTTGTGTTTGTACTGGCTGATTGTGGTGTGAATAGTGTTCACAGATGGACTTTATAGTATACCACCATTATTCCCACTCTTGTAGAACTTGTTTTCCCCAGACTTCATACTATTACTGTCTCCATTTCTGTCTTTCCTGTCTCTATTTCCCTCCCTTCTCATTTCTCTCTCTCCCCTGCTTCCCTTTCTTTTTATCTCCCCCAGGTCTTCTTTTCCCTCTATCTCCCTATATTTCCCTCCCTTGCCCCAAACTAACTCTTTTAGATTAAGCTTATTTTATATTTTTAATTTCCCTGAATACTTTCTTTTATTCTTTTAAAATTGTGCAGTATCTTCTCTCATTTTTCTGAAAATATTAAAATTTTTTCAAAATTTCTTTAACTTCTTACATTGTTATTTTTCTCTAAATTGCTTTTTTCTTTGTATTGTCTTTCATATTAGAGTAGGATTCAGCTGTGGTGTGATAGTTGTCTACACATTGATACCTATTTATGTTAAACTAGAGGCCCAGATCATGAATTCGTGCACGGGTAGGGTCCAGCCTGCCTGCCCCAATGGGGGCCTATTGGGTCGGGTCAGTGGGGGGTGGGGGGACGTTGGAGGAGATTGGTCAGCTGGCCCTTCCCCTGATTGGGGTGGGGGAGGGCGATCAGGGGGTGGGCTGGCCAGGGGGAGGAGCCATGTGAGGTTGGGGGGACCGAGTGGGGCCCCAATTGGGCTGGTTGGCTGCCGCAGTGCATGTGATAGTGACTGGTCATTCCGTCATTCCAGTCACTTGGCTTTTGCATATATAGATGTATAAATAAACATTGTGCCATCCATTGTACTATGCACGGGAGTTTCTGAGATAAAACAGTCTAATCTTGCGAAGCTCAAGTATAATGAGGAAGCTAAGCATAGAATTCTGTGGGAGGAGAGATCAGCACAGAAACCGAACACAACAACAAAGAAAGATTGAGTTGGAGATGCAGGAGAGTAACATGGCACCCTGGAAAGAGAGTTATCTGAAAGTCTGATGGGGTCAGGGAAGGGAAGTCTCCCTCAAGAATGTGATGTGATTCTTGAGTTTTAAAAGATAAGCATTAGTCAGATTAGAATTGACAGGAATAACTTAACCAAGAATGTAATTCAAGTAGGAATTAAAGGATGAGTAAAGGTAAAAGGCAACAAACATTCTAATATCTACCAGTGTCTATAAGCCGTCCAAGGAATTGATTTTTTTGAAAATGTATCATGGTTATTTTCTCTTCCCTTTGGCCCTCTCCACCCAGCCTCCAATCACCCTAGGCCTTCCCCACACTATTATCTGTGTCCACGGGTTATGCATATATGTGCTTTGGTTAATCTCTTCCCTTCCCTCCTGCCCCCCTCACCTCTGAGATCTGTCAGTAGGTTCCATGCTTCCATGCCTCTGGACCTATATTGTTTGTCAGTTTATTTTGTTCTTTAGATTCTATACATAAGTGAGATCATGTGATATTTGTCTTTCTCTGACTGGCTTATTTTGCTTAGCATAATAATCTCCAGGTCTGTCCATACTGACTCAAAGGGTAGGAGCTGCTTCTTTTTAATAGCTGCATAGTATTTCATTGTGTCTACTCATGGGCATTCGGCTTTTTCCAGTTGATTTTATGTCAAGGAAAGGTAAAAAAAAGACTGTCAAGACTGATAGGCATATGGTGAGCTAATACTTTTATTAAGAACTAATACTTTTCCTGGAGGTGTGCAGAGCCATCAAAGTATTGTAAGCAATAGAATGAGAGAGTAGAAGGGGCCAGGGCAAGGCTTTCTCCTGGGTTTCTAATTTGGGAAACTGGATGGGTGTTTTCCCAATAGCTGAGAAAGAAAGGTTTAGGGGATAGGTTCCGTTTGGAACATGGAGTGTAAATGAATTGTGAGCTTCCCAGATAGAGATATTTATAGACAATTAAAAGGAATTTGGCTAGGCACAAATTTGGGAATCGTTAACAAACCCTGGACGGGGTCAGGAGATTACTCGTGATTCGTACTGCCAAGCGCAAGGAGCAGTAAAGGATGAACCTTGGATAATATGAATGTTTAGTGAAAGAAGGGCTGCCCAAAAAGGATACAGAAGAGGCAGTACAGAAGATACAGTCAATGGCAGTACGAAAAGAATCAGGAGAGGGTAGTGAAAGCACTTGAGATAAAAGTTGGTAGGAGGAGAGCAGACAAACAATGTCAGGTACAATAGTGAGACTCAGTAATGAGGCCTGAAGAACATTCTTGAGATTTGCCAGTTGGGAAGTTACTGAATGGTGAAACCAGAAAGCTGTGAGTGAGTGAATGGGAGATGAGAAGAGAGTAGGTATATAGTTGGCTTGTAGAAATTTGAAAGAAAAGAGAACAAAAGAGATTGATGGAGGTGAATTTGACAATAAAAAGGTGTTTGCTTGTATGTTTCTAGTGTTTCACCTTGTTTTTAAAGATAGGGAAGATCCAGGCATGCTTATAAAGAGAAGGGAAGGGAAAATGTGTGAATTTTCAAGAGAGAGAGAAAATGATTGAGGTAGGAGAGCCTGGAGTCAGATAGGTGGTAGAGCCTACAGTTGGAAAGCATATGTATTTTGTTGGGTGTGAATAAGTGGGAAGTTGAATAAGATCTTGTTTAATGACCTCAATTTCCTGTTGTTATCAACAGAATGTGTGGTCTGTTAAGAATCTTAAAGAAGTAGGTTGACTAAGGGACTTGAGGAAATTGTGATGGTTTGGAATATTAAAGAAAGGGGATGAGAGAGACAGTGGGAAAGGAACATAAAAGAGTATGGAGGGCCCAGTGAAAGTTGGAGATAATAAGTTTGCACTGGATCTTATCCATGATGGTGTGCTGTTTTTTCTCTTTCCAGGCGTTCAGTAGTCTGTAGAAGTTAGAGAAGGCAGACAGATACACTATTTATTGGGGTTGAGGTTTTGCTGAGCTGGTAAGTAGAAGGAAGGAACATAGTAAGAGAGAAACTAGTTCACATGTCATCTATGGGATTAGGTAAATAGGATAGGACTAGAGGATGGAAACACTAATATATTTATCAGAGGATGTTCATTTTTTAATCTATGAAATAAGAGGTAAGAATGATGGATTGAGTAGATGGTGAGAAGGAATGAGAAGAGAGGTGAAGATACATTTAAAATAGCTGTTTTGAAAATGGGGGAGAGAACTGATTGTGGACAAACCATTTTTTTCAAGTCCTGTTGAGGTAAGTCATTAATTTTGGTTGGAACCAATTCTGGGAAGTTTGTTTGTTTAGTTTGGTTTAGTTTATGTACTGTTGGCTGCTGAATAGTTTAAGTTAATTTCCTTCTCTCAGACTTAAGAACATTTACAGAGGTGATAGCTGAGAATAGTTAGGCCAGTTGTAGTTTTATCTATTAGCATAAATTAATAGGTAATATCCTACATATGTATCCAATGTATTCATTAGTCAAGTCAAGTGAGTATTAGGAGAGAATAATTGTACAGGTATTTCTTCTTTTGAAGGGTAGATTTTAAAAAATATATTTTATTGATTTTTGTACAGAGAGGAAGGGAGAGAGAGATAGAGAGTTAGAAACATCGATGAGAGAGAGTCATCGATTAGCTGCCTCTTGCACACCCCCTACTGGGGATGTGCCCGCAACCAAGGTACATGCCCTTGACCGGAATCGAACCCGGGTCCTTCAGTCCCCAAGCCGACGCTCTCCATTGAGCCAAACCAGTCTCGGCTGAAGGGTAGATTTTAGATGCTTTGGTGATTATCCTCTGTTAGACTGTTTGACTCAGTTCTCTTGCATTCTCAATTGTCATAAGTCTCATTAACTTTAAATTCTTTCAAATCAAAAGTTTTTAACTGGCTGATTAAAGGCACATTTATATGCCTTGCCTTACATCTCTAATTCTCTTAACTAATGAAAAGATAAGTTATTTTAATTGTGACCAATTAAAAAAATATATATAGACTATTCATTGGATATTCATCATTAACCTAAATGTGTCTTTAAATAAGCCATCACATCCACTACATTTTGCAATATATAGTCATATTTATACAATGTTTGACCATTTAGACATTAACATTCTCTATTAGTAAGAAATAGCTTTGATAAATGAATGATTCATTATGGCTATAGAGCCATGATTGCTAAAAAGGAATTGTACTATTCACTTTTGAGACTTTGA